GGCTGCTCCAGGAGGGCCGGGTCAGCAGTGCCTCCCAGGTGGCCCAGCGCCTAGAACAGAACCGGGCACTTAGTAGGCACTCGGTCACCTTTGTGGGGTGAGTATACCCGTGGTCACCACTCAGAGGTGTCGCCGCACTAGGGGGAGTTCTTGTCCCCTGGGTCCAGCTGGAAAAAGTGAGTCCACATGGGGACCACTCAGCCCTGGACAGGATTCAGGGGGCTGCTGGGTGGGGGCAGGGGGCCCTGGGCTGGGGGGGTCAGGAGCTCACTTCCACCTGAGCCCTGAGGCAGGGCCCAGATCACCCCCTCTCGGAGCCCTGGTGTGGGGCACCGGCCCCCAGCCTCAGGGGGCGCAGGACAGCCCCAACATGCCTCCTTGATGGTCCCCAAAGGGCTGAGCTGACTCTTCTTTATAAACATAAGTTTGTCTGAACAGGGTAGAAAGTCCCCCTTCCTCACTGGCTGACCAGTGTCCAGCGCAGGTCAGGTTTCCCCACCATCCGTGGGTGTTGGTTGAAATCCACCACCTGCCTGAAGGGCCGTGCGTCATGACATCCACGTCCGAAGATGCCCCGGCCCAGGAACGTCCTTCCGACTTATTATGAAAACTCAGTCTCAGCAGGACAAACACTGAAGCTACGGGAAGTTCAGATTTAATGACACGTCTGCGGGACAGGAACTGAGTCACGGCGAGTTCAGGTGGCGGCGCTTCTGTTTCTGCCCTTAGAACACCCCCGCCCGTGAATAAATAAACACCAAGAGGAAAAGAAATCCTTTTTGTTTTTTTATCCTCACCCGAGGACATTTTTCCATTTTTTGTTCAGGTAGAGTGGGAGGGAGAGAGAGGAAGAGAGAGAGAGAAACATCCACGTAAAAGGGACCCATCGAGTGGCTGCCACCCACACGACCAACCAGGGCCGGGGACAAACTGCAACCGAGGTACATGCCCTCAGTGGGAACCGAACCCGGGCCTCTCTGGTCTGCAGGCCGACGCTCTAACTGCTGAGCCAAACCGGCCAGGGCAAAAAATCATTTTTACAAGCACCTTGACAACTTCATGGTCACACCCGGTGCCTGCTCGTGTCGAATGCAAACTGTGGAAAACGTTTGGGTCTCAAAACCTTGACTCAGACCTTTCCTTGGCGGGAGGTCCCGTGTGGACACACAGGTGTGCTGGGCATCGGCGCTGAGACAGGCACCAGCTGCAGGCAAGGGCTGGGCAGGGAGGGAGCAGGCAGAGGTGGACACATACCTTAGGCGTTCAGAGAATCCCCCAACTTAGAAGCTGTCTCTGGAAGGACCTCAGGAGTCACCAAAGTCCTCAGTCACAGAGGGGGACTCCGACCCTTGCAGACAGGGAGCCCAGGGGAGCACGGGTCCCAGGACAGGCCACCCCACCTGGGGCTGTGCCACCGAGCCAGAGACAAGCCACCCCACAGAGACCTCAGGACCACTGGCATTTTCCAACGATTTATTTCGTCTCGGCAGAAACAGACACCACGAGGCTGACAGCACTGTGCCTGGGCTGTGAACGGAGCACTGACACACAGTCCCCGCACGGCCGCCGCCTGAAACAGGGCAGTGTGTCCGGTGAGCGGCGACACTGCCGATGTGGGGCCTTCGGAACCTCAGAGGACTTCGCCTCACGGGGAGCATCACGCCTTCACGTCGGGTCACTCCAAAGCCAGTCACTCAGCTCCGGAAGGCGCCTGGCTGCCAGCTTGTCACGGGGGCTGGAGCCGCGTGTCTGGGCAGGGTCCTGGGTGTGGGTGCGGAGAGGACGCGGCCACGGACACACGGTCAGATGCAGCGAACACACCGCAGGCGCCCTTTGGAGGTCTCGCCATCTCTTCGCCGCTCCCCGTGAGGCAGAGCAAGGGGAGAAGAGGGATGTCCATGTTTTCAAAGGCAAAATAAAACATTGTGTAAGCTAGGAAGGCCTCTAACGTAAGAACACAACAGGGCACGTTCCTGTCCATCCACCCACTAAGGTGTTACAAGGGATGAGGTCCCGAACCTCTACTCCAGGAAGGGGCAGGAAACCACCGAACATTCCGTTTCCAAGTCTCTCACAGGAAGTCGCCCAGGAGACCAAGCGATTGACCTGCTGGGGCCAGAACTGCTTCCTGACAGCTGGGTGCAGGGATGGAGCGACCATCCCTTCTCTGAGTATTTGTGACAAAGTGACCCGGGTACAAGTGTTAACAAAGTAGCCAAAGCATTTCCCCAGCATCCATTCTCCTAAAAGAAAAGAAACTCAGACATGAAGTCACAAGTTCCAAACACAGCGCGGGGGCCATCCCCCAGCCAGGAATAAAAAGAGGAAGAACATGAAGGCATCTTCAGCCCGACCCCTTGGCCTCCAAATGCACCCTGACAATTCAGTCACTGCTCGTCAGCGAACCAACGGCTCGGGCCCTCTGTCCCCACCATCTCCCCTCGCTGAGGGCTGTGGACAGATGTCACAAACGCATCACCTTCATCAGACAACTAACCCAAGATCAGAAATAGTTTTGCACCAACTGTTTTTCAAAACAGTGTCAGTTGGATACAAACTGAGAACATGACATTGAACACGAAACATCCTTCCTGGGAACATCAGTGTCCGGAGCCAGGCCCCTCCCTGCAGCCAAGTCCCGTCAGGCCTGCGGGACAGGGTGGCTCTCCTGTCTGTCTCCCGGGTGCGGCCCCTGTGGCTTCCCCCCAGGAACTGCCCAGAGTGCAAATAAACGGGCCCTCGCGGCCGGCCAGGTCCTGTAGCATTTGTTTCCTGTGACAGTCTATCTAGAAATATGATAGATCCTATCCCACACCCTTTCACTGACCCTCGTGCGTCCTGTGTTTCATCTGACAGATCCCTGGACCGCGAGACCAGACGGGGAGGCCACGCCCGGAACAGGTGTTCCTTTCCTAAACTCCTCTGGGGCGTGTCGCCGTGTGGCCGTCCACACCCCACACCCAGCAGCTCTGCGGGGATGATCTCACTCGGGAAGCCCACCCTCCGCCTTCTGTTGTGAAATGGTCAACATGACAGGAGTGATTTCTCAAGCAGAATCACAGTGGTACTAGTTCATGTCTGATAGTTAAGGAATGAAAACATCAGCCTGCTCTCATGTCATATAAAAGTTTTAGCATAAGCGACACAGTTCTACAGAAACGTGCACCACAACATGGAAGGTACATTTGTTTAAAAGAATATGATTTGTTTCCTTTGGCTCTAAGTTCTTTTCCCACGAGAATCTCCAGTCTCCTCCGACGAAAGGTCAAGTCCACGTGAAGCCTGTTTCTCTCCTGAGACGATGAACAGATTTGCCAAGTTACCTCCTCAGGTCATTAGCATCCAGTCACCCGAACTCTAACTGCAACTGTCAACGTTCCCATTCCTCATGCACATGCTCAGGATGCAAGCTGATCACTGATTTCCAAACACACCTACTTTGCATAGCCACAGACTCTGGACAAAGCACAACCGACTTCCAGTCACCCACTGCGTGCTACCGAGATGTGACGCCCGTCACTGGATTAACAAGTCGACAGTGCTAAGCCAGGCGTGATGCCACCTGACCGTGCCCCAGTGACTTCGATGTGACCCTTCCTATTTTCAGCAAAAACAGCCTGGATTCAGAATCCAGACCATTTGCCCTGTTTACGAGCATACATTTTACCCTAAAAGTCTAAACAAACAGCCCCGTCTGTCCATATGCGCAACGGAAATGTTTTAACAAATGAGAACAGCTGATTTGCTTTTAATCTTTGTGCTCTGTCAAAGTAGTGAGTTTCCTGTTAATTCTGTTATGGCATTTTGAAATTCACAACTAGGGAAACGTAGCTTTAACCTGCAGGACTACATTATAAACATAGGTTGTGTCCTGTCGGGTTCCTAGGCTGGTTCTCACTCCGCCACGTGTTCTTAGGATGATGTTCTTTAAAACCCCTTTCCCTCACCAGATTACACCATGCACACTTGCCACGCCACAGGCAGAGGGTTCGGAGGGTGCCCTCATGTTCGTCCCCAGGACTGCCTATTGCCATGAGCTTACCCTTCTTTGGGGGAAATCCGTCTTTCTCTGAGTCCGCCACAGAATATAGAAGTGACTGAGCCTATTTTGTGGCTACTGAGGGTTAAGACAGACCGGCGGCCCTGGCAGCCACCTTTTCCTAGTCGAGAACTTGCTCTTTGGTAAACATTTACTCACCAAAGATGTAAAGTCCAAATAACAGTAAATCGTTACTGTATCATGGAACCTAGTCACATGCTTTCCTTGAAAATGTCCAGCCCATCTCTGAACACGGAGCTGGAGCCTTCCTGGGCCATGTGTGGGTCCCACCCCCCGTGGTGCCTGGGTGACGGCAGAGAAAATGCCGGGCTGCTTCCTGGACCAGAGACCGTCTGTCACCAAAGGAGCCCAGCAAACCTTGAGTACAGGTGAGGAACCCTGCACTCAGTTTGTGAGAAAGGGTCTGAGAGCTTTCCCACCAATTATTCTAACCCTCAGCCAAAACACCTGTGGTTGTCTGTGGTCGGCTGATCGGGGTCACGTGGGCCTGCTTGACCTTCCCAACTCCAGGCAGCTGCTCGGGGCGCGGTAAGCAAAGGCGCAGGCAGGGCTCCGGTCCGGCTGCCTGGGCACTCCACGCAGGGGTCAGTGTACTCCAGGACCTGCTGGGGGCCCCCAGGAACACCCTGAACACACGCTCGGCCAGCTCGCCCACCCTGGGCACTGTCCTGTGCTCATTCCCCCTGAACATCCTTCCTGTGAGGTCACCTGTCTGTGCACAGCCTGCATCTCACACCGTCCGCAAGGGGGGGCGAAAGGAAAAGCAAACAGGAAAGCGAACCTTGAAGCAGCATTTCAGAGTCTCTGAGGCCCCACTTCAAAGCCTTACATAGCAGGTGGCCAGGGGCCACCCGCGACCGTCTCCCTCCCTTCCTCCACTCCCAGTGGGAACCTCGGCCCAGGAGGCCTTCCCTCCCAGGGCTGCCCCCGGGAGACACCCAGGTGACCCCCTCCTGTTCTACTCCGCGCCCTCCTCGCCTCGGTCCGGCTTCTCAGGCAGGTTGAGCACGAAGGGGAAGAGCGCGCCCCGCACGTCCAGGGGGCCGCCCAGCGCCTCGGCCTCGAAGCTGTCGTCTGCGCCCACATCCGCGCTGGGCTCTCCATCCCGCGGGGGCACGAAGCGCCAGAGGCCGGCGCGGCTCACGCAGTAGATGCTGCCGCCCAGCGCCGCGCAGCGGAAGGGCTGCAGGCCCGAGGGCGCGCCCGGGGGCCGCAGGGGCGCGGCGCAGCGGCTCCACTGCTTGGCCACGCAGTGGTAGCGGAGCACGCTGACCCCGCCGGTGGGCCCGGCCGCCTGCGCGTCGCCGCGGCCACCGCACAGGTCGAAGCGGTAGATGAAGCCGCCGAGCGCCACCATGTCGGCCGAGCGCTCGCGGCTGCTGCTGCACGGACATTCCTGCCACTCGTCGCGCCGGGGGTCGTACTTGAGCAGGCGGTAGAAGAGCGAGCCCCCGGACACGTAGATCTCGCCGTTGCAGGTGGTGGCCTCGTGCGCCACGGCGAAGGCGCCCCGGGGCAGCGGCGCCACGGCGGCCCAGCGGTCGGCGCGAGGGTCGTAGCGCTCCACGCTGAGCAAGCACTCGCCGCCCACGGCGTACAGGTGGCCGTCCAGGGCCAGCAGCTGCAGCTGGGAGCGCGCCTGGCGCAGCGGCCGCACGGCGCTCCACTGGTCGGTGGCCGGGTTGTAGCAGAAAACCTGGTCCGAGGGGCGCGCGCGGCCGTCGGGGCCCGCGGGCGCCACGCCGCCGGCGACGAAGAGGTAGTTGAAGAGCACGCACAGGCCGCAGCCCCGCGCCGGCGCGCCCTCGGGCAGCCGCGTCAGCTCCCTCCACTCGCCGGCCGCCTCGTGCCAGCAGTAGACGGCGGCGTCCCCGCGGCCCTCCGCGTCCCCGGACGGGCTCTGCGGCCGGCTGCCCGCGCGCTCCCCGCCCGGCCCGAGCGCGGCAGCCAGCAGGCAGGCCCGGCCGGCGCGCAGGCGGCGGCGCAGCAGCAGGTCGCGCTCGGCGCCCGACAGGCGCCCGAACACCGCGGGCTCGCGCAGCACCTCCAGGTAGTGGTCGCTCATGAAGCGGTAGGCGGCGTCGCGCAGCTCGGCCAGCCGCTGCCGTTTGGCGGCGCTCAGCACCTCCAGGCAGTTGGTGAGGCTCAGCTGCGGCGCCACGGCCTCGGTAGCGCGCTGCGCGGCGCAGGGGAGCTGCAGGCGGCGCGCGCCGGCCACCACCTCCGCCACGTTGTCGGGCCGCACGCCGGCCATGCGCCCGCTGTACGCGTAGGCCAGCAGCAGCCGCAGCGCCGCCCAGCCCACGCCGGTCACCCGCAGCACGTCCCGCGACGCGCGCGCGCGGAAGTAGTCGCTGCGCGCCGCCAGCACCGCCTTGTGCGCCCGCAGCCGGCGGCCCGACACCTCGATCACCAGGTCTGGCTCCCCGTGCGCGGCCCCGACTCCGGGGGGCACAGACGCGAAGTCCCCCGGCTCCTCTGGGGATGCGGGTTCCTCTGGGTCCCCGGGCTCCTCGGGCGATGTAGCCTCTGCGCCGCCGACCTCCCACTGCCTCTCCACTACCCACTGGCCACTGTGACAGGAGGGCGGGGAGGCCACTGCGCCCTCTGCGGCAGAGGCTCGGGACTGAGGCGGGGAGTCGTCCCCGGAGCTGAAGCACAGCGACGCGCTGAGACTGCAGGGTGACTGCGCCTGGGAAGCGGTGCCCTCCCCCCCGGCCGCGTCCTGCGGCTGCAGGCTGCCCTCTCCCGGAGCCTTGGGAGCGCTGCCGCCGCCCCCAGCCGGGCCGCAGCTCCCCTGCGCCAAGGCGCCCCTGGGATCCTGCCCGTGGCCCAGGTCATCCCCGGGGTAGAGGACGCAGGGGGCCACCGGGTTCTCCATGGCGGCTCCTCCTCCAGGTCAGGAGCCCACCATGACCTCGGGCTGCTCAAGGTCGATGGCTGCGCAGGGGCTTCTTGGCCGCACACGCCTCTCCAGGCACTTGGTCAGATTTCACTTCTGTATCCACGCTGGTTTGTGCTGCACGCAGCTCCCCTGGCGCGGTCCCACCCTCCTCTCTTGCGAGGAGGGCAAGTCAGCTCCAGGTGCAGTCCCGGTGAACCCTTGGAGAGCCCTGTGCCAAGGTCTCTAGTTTAGCCTCCAGGCTGGGGTGGCGATGCCCCAGTGGGTGCACCCGGCTGGCCTGGAGCCAGGGCCTGGCTCATCTGTGGCTCCCTCTCTGCGGAACTGGGCTGTCAGGGACACATGGCAAACCAGGGTGCACCCTCTTTCTGGTCAGTCTTCACTTCTTACACTCCATCACCTCACTGCCCCTGAGGACCCGCAGATCTGAGAGGGGGTCACCTTCAGAACCCTGGTTTTCAACTCTACCTTTTGTAAAGAGCCACCCCGGGGGGTTTTCTCTCTGTGATTCCCGTTTGTCACGCAGGGTTATGAAAAGTCAGCTGGAGAGGGTCTGCCCGGCGTCAGCAGCTCTGGTGATGTGGCCGTGTCCCCGCCCAGCTCTTGGGGGCGCATCCATAATTCACTTGCCAGGTGCGTGTTGGAAAAACAGAACGGAACTCATGTCTCTTATCAGTCAGGGCCTCGCTCCGCGGCTTCCCCTGCTGGGATGGCAGCTGTCTCCATACCGCGCTCTGCTTGTCCCTGTGGTAGGAGAGAGAGGATGTTTGAGTCTGCATGTCTCAGGGTTGTTTGTGTCGGTGGCTTCGGCCACACTTCCCTCCACAATGCTCAGGGCACAGCAGTCACCTCAGTGGGGAGGCGGAGGGGCTGCGACTTTCCCTGCTGGACCGTGGGGTTATCAGATGTACGGAATAACCAAGGGGTGTAAATAGTGCCCCTCGCTCCCCTCCCCTGATCTTGGGGCCTGTGAAGGTGAACTCGGTCAGCAGTGGCCTTGGACACACTGGGCTCGGCCGTGTGGCACAAGGGCATTCGTGGGACAAAGCCATCAATCAGCTCCTGGTTTTTTTTTTTTGTTTTTTTTTTAATCCTCACCCGAGGACATTTTTCCATTTTTTGTACAGATAGAGCGGGAGGGAGAGAGAGGAAGAGACAGAGAGAGAGAAACATCGACGTGAAAAGGACACATCGAGTGGCTGCCACCGCACGACCAACCAGGGCCGGGGACAAACTGCAACCGAAGTACGTGCCCTTAGCGGGAACCGAACCCGGGTCTCTCTGGACCGCAGGCCGATGCTCTAACCGCTGAGCCAAACCGGCCAGGGCTCAGTTCCTGTTTTCAACCTGAAGAAAAGAGACCTCCGGCCTGGCCGGTGTGCTCAGCGGTTAGAGCGCCAGACGGTGGACCTGAGTCTCAAGTGTGACTCCAGTCAAGGGCATGTACCTCAGTTGCTGTTCGTCCCTGGCCCTGGTTGGGGTCATGAGGGATCAACTGGTTGATGTGTCTTGCTCACGTCAATGTTTCTCTCTCTCCCTCCCCCCTCCTACTCCAGCTGAAGACAAATTGAAAAATAGCCTCAGGTGAGGATTTTTGTTAAACCCTCACCTGAGGCTATTTTTCCATTTTATCTTCAGATGGAGTAGGAAGGGGGAGAGAGAGAGGGAAACTTGGATGTGAGAGAGACACACCGACTGGCTGCCTCGCACACGACCCCAACCAGGGCCAGGGACGAACTGCAACAGGTACCTGCCCTTGACTGGAGTCAAACCCGCGACCCATTGGTCCTCGGGCTGACGCTCTAACCACTGAGCCACACCGGCCGGGCTCGCGTGGGGATTTTTAAGGTGAGCATCAGTGGGGAGCCCTGTGGGTCTGCGCAGCCTAACCCATGCTGTTGCCGTGTGCCCCGTTCCTGCCGTCTCGCCCAGTCTGCTCCCTCAAACTCAGCTACGTCAGATGTTTGGAGCCAGGTGCTAGGGCCCCGCAGTCGGCCTCGGAGGCTCCGGCGCCGAACCCCGTTTGAACTGCTCGTCCTTGGAATCACGCGTCCGGAGAACCTCGGGGAAGTGATGCTCCCGAAAGCCCACAGGGTGGAAAGCAAAGCCAAAGGGAGCCGACCAGCAGCAGCGATCCCCAGACCCCGCTGTGCTCGGGAGGCAGATGTGAGCCACAGAGGAACCAGAATAACGGAAGGCATCTCTCCGGAACTGGCCAAACCTTCATGGAGGCCCTGTAGCCTGAAGGGGGCACAGTGGTCGCAGAGAGGCCCAGCATACAAAGAGGAACAAGGCAGGAAGCAGACCCACAGGGCTCAGGCTCACAGCGTCCTCCAGGATGCGTTTTCCTCTGAAGTGAGGTGAGGTGAGACAGAACCCCCTCTCCTCAACATCGCTGTTTCTCTGCTTGTCATACTTGATCCTGGGACCTGATCCCTGCAAATGCTCAGGCTGAGCGCATGGGTGTGGGTGTGGGTGTGTGCACATATGTGTGAAGGTGTGTGTGCATGTGCGTGTGTGTGGAGTCGTGCGTGCACACGTGTATTGTGTGTGTACATGTGTGCGCATGGGTGCACACACGTGTGTACAGGCATGTGTGTGCAGTCCTGTGTGCACACATGTACGTGTGTGCATGTGTGCATGGGCACGTATGCCTGTGTGTGCACATTTATCTGCTTGTCCTGCTCTTCCTGCTGCTGTGTCACTGAAAAGCTCTCCGATTATTCTTCAAACAAGTGTCTCGAGGCCGTCAACGCGGCACCCACTGCGCTGTGTCCAGCAGACATCTTTCACGGCGACTCTCTGGCCTGTCCGCGATGTGGGAGGCACTGCCCAGGACACGGGGGAGCACTGTGAGAAATGCTGAGTAACCTGAGCCGCCCCGGGGCCCCAGGCCGGGGATGCTGAGCTCACAGAACAGGCTGCTGTTTACTCAGCTGCCTGTGCTCTGGACGCGGCCTGTGCCCTGCTCCCAGCCTGTCCTCTGCGGGGAAGAGGCCCACAGCGCGGGAAGTGATGATGGACGGGGACCTGCAGGGGTCTTGTAAGCACAGTTCACCGCCATTGTCCCGGGGACTCAGCTGAGCCCCTCCTGGGGGAGTAAAGCGAAAAGTAAGACACACAGACCCATCTTACCCCGGACACTGAGGAACCGCACTGTCTGAAGTCCACCAGAGAACCAGCTGACTTCGCTCACCCTTTAACGCCTCTGTACACGACAGAAGACCTCAGGGCTCAGGAACACGGTATGTTCTTTTCCCTTTGGCCTGGAAAAGGGTCCCAGGACCTCCAATCTGGCGTGTCCCGTTAGAGAGCACAAGAGCCCAAGCTCGGAGTCATCTTCCGGTGTCCACAGACCCGTCCAGGCAGGAGCCGCACCCCTAGGGGCCGCCTGGAACTCGGCTCCTGGAGCCCAGGCTAAGAGTATGCGCGGCAGGAGCAGGCCACCGGTGTGCGGATGGAAATAACACAGCAGTGAGTCATGGTCAGGAAGAAGCATCCACGGGCGCACAGCAGTAAACCTGTGTGTCGGGGGAGCTGCAGGGACGCGGGCGTCCAGCTCCGTGGGAACAGGCCTGGAGCACCTGCGCCCTCTGCTGAGACGCCAGGTTTCTCCGGACCGGAGTCAGGCTTCCGAAGGGGCTTCTCGCCCGTGGTGGCCTCGCTCTGGAGCCCGAGGGCACAGGGCGCCCTTGAGGGCTCAGTGCAGGGAGCTGTCCCGGTGACTGAAACAGCCCCCAAGGGCCGTGGGCTCCTCCCTGAGAGGTGCGGACTCCCAGGGCAGCCCTGTGCGTCCATCACAGCAGCTGGTGAGCAGGAGGAGCCACTGGCTGAAGGCCGGTCAGCGGAGGGGCAGGCGGACACGGCAGGTCTTCACTGTCCTTTGGACAAGCGTTAATGGCAACAGGTTTGTGTGCAAGATGGTTTGTGTAGCATTCTCCTGAAGAATGTCAGCTCCTCCTCAACCTCACAAATGTCTGAACAAAGATTTTCTTAGTGTTTCCATTATTTCACTACTTTTTTTTATCCTCACCCGAGGACCTTTTTCCATTTTATGTTCAGACAGAGTGGGAGGGAGGGAGAGAGAGAGAAACATCGACGTGAAAGGGACACATCGAATGGCTGCCACCCACACGACCCAACCAGGGTCGGGGACAAACTGCAACCGAGGTCCGTGCCCTTAGCGGGAACCGAACCCGGGTCTCTCTGGTCCACGGGCCGACGCTCTAACCGCTGAGCCAAACCGGCCAGGGCTCTTTCACTATTAATATGAAGTTGTAAAAATAAGATTGTGTTTGCGTTCCTAACATGGACATTATGTATGTATTTGATACGGATGTTAGTTTTTTTAATGAAATAGGCTTTCTGATAATAATACACGTTGCGAAAATAAATCTTCCTTTCAAACAATTAGCTTAGTTTTCAAACACGTTTGTTAACAGACTTAGAGGCTTGCACAACCCTCTGCTTCTGAGGAACCTTCTCTGCCCACATGGCACCTCGTGGCTTTTCTTGTCCGTCCCTGTCTGCCTCCCACGGGCCCGGAGGGCACTGGGCAGTAAGTAGCTTCTGCGTTGTGAGGAGAACAAGACTGTGAAGGTAAGAAAAAGTATCCGGTCACAGAAACTCGCGGGGAACCTGGAATTTCCACCCGATCGTGGAGGGACTCTGCTTCAGCCGTCCGCACACATGCTGTTCAGAGAACCCCGTCTCTGGGCCCGTGAGAAATGGGCAGGGGACGGCGGGCCGGGCTGGCTGGGGTCCTGGGTGGGAAGAATCATCACTGACTATCCTATTTCAAAACACACCCGGTTAACTCTGGGGTTCAGGCACTTGGCAGGTGCTGTGTGGGGTCGGAGGGTGTGCGGCGCATGACTGCGGGGCGTCCAAGCTCCCAGCAAGGAGGTGCCGAGTGACTGACGGGACCGGAACCGAGGCGGCAGCGTGTGACATGTGGTTGAGGACAGACAGGCGTCCGGCGAGCCGCGGCTCATTAGTAATTCAGTGAATGAGCAGGGTCCGTGTACCGGTGGACGGAGTGACACCGACGCGTCCACCCCAGCAGGCCGCCGTCCGTCCCTTCCAGCCTGTTTTACAGAGGACGTCCCTAAAAAGCGGGCAGAACCTGACCCGACCGCAC